CTAAATCATGGCCTAGTGTAGAGACATTACACGATTTGTAATAATTTACTGTCTCAACTTCATTATTGTAACAGAAAACAACAATGTGAGACACCAAAGCTCATTGTGAAAAACTAAATATTTAATACCTGACCCATAGAAACACAACAATGATTGGGTGTCACACATCTCTCTGACCAGGACATGCTAGAATTAATCTTCAGGGAACAAACTTAAGTGTTTGTCACTATATGTGACTCATCTTTTGTCTCTTTTGTTCAATCAAATTTTCTGTCTTTTTTCTTCATGTTATATCTTACTTGACCAGATTTTATCACAGAGTATTCCTGTTCATGGAAACAGCCAATGTCTATCATTGCCTAAAATAATTCAGTTCTGAGTGTTCTGGTTGGCTGATTTTACATCTGAGTGTCCCACACAAATGGATGGTTTTGTAACTGCAGCATGATGGTTGGAGTGTTCCCATCACTCCTGCATCACTGCTTTTAGCAGGGGCTTCCCTTACCTAGAAGTCAGTCCTACACTTTAGTATTGAACTGGTTATGAAAGGTCCACATATTTAAGACTTGGTCATCAGCCCACGGTGCTATAAAGATGTGATGGGACTTACGAGAAATACAGATTATAAAACTTAGGTCAGTGAGTCAGTGTCTAGAAGGAGATATTGGTAACCTCTGCCTCTTCCTGAATCTTATGCTTTCGACTTGCATACTATAAATGATATTCCTTCTCCATATACTCAGGCCATGACACACCATGGTGTCAAGCCAAAAGTAACACAGCTAAGGAACTACACACTAAGACTTCTGAAACAGTGCATCAAAATGTATCTTCCTTTTAGAGATATCTCAAATGTTTTCTGACAGAGATAGAAAACTGACTAACACACAAAATGAAAAAGAGGACTTGCATCCCTTCACAGAGAATGCTCCAGTGCACTTCTCCAGTGGGAAACAGTGGTTTTCCAGACTTGGAGACAATGAGGTATCATTAAATAACAAAGTCTTCAAAATAACCATATGCTTTCATTTTATATTCTTTCTTTAATTGCACATTTTATCAAAATTAGATTCCATACACTCTTAGATGTTATATGTCTGAAACTAAATAGACATTACTATACTCCAATAATGCTTTCATTTGACAGGTATAGATTCTAAATGCTTTTTTTTTTTTTAGAAATTTATGGACACAGCCAGGTGGTGATGGTGGTTCAAGCCTTTCATCCCAGCACTTTGAAAACAGAGGCAATCTGATCTCTGTGAGTTCAAGACTAGCCTACAAAATGAATTCCAGGGCAGCCAGAGCTGTTACAGAGAGAAACTTGACACTGTTCTAGAAACTGTATTTTCGTATGACAATGTAGATACTGTATTTGTTTTTCCTCCAAAAGATTTAACAGCATGCACAGTAAATCAAGGCACATTTAAGAGAGAACAACACAGTTGTTCCCCTTATTAAATTCTTAAATTACTCTGTATTTCTATAAACTATGATGCAATGGAATGTTAGCAATAGAACATAAAAGATTAAGTGAATTACTATATATAATGACCAAGAAAATCTGGGGACAAATTAAAAGCTTGACATGTTAATTAGTATTCTCAGTCTTTGTTTAAAAATAGTTTCCTGTCATCGCACTTCAAAAAATGCTGTATTTAAATAAGAATTTAATTTAGAAGCTATGTTTTATAGTTAAAATAATCTGTTATAATATTATCATAGATATATGTGAACTTTCCAAATTCCTAAAAGGAGTTTCCTGTCTTAGTTAGGATTTCCTTTGCTATGAAGAAACACCATGACCTCAACAACTTTTATGAAAGAAAACATTTACTTGTTGTAACTCAGTTACAGTTCAGAGATTTAGTCCATTATTTTCATGGAAGCAAGGCAGCATGCTCACAGATGGTGCAAAGAAGGACCTGAGATTTCTAACATCTGGACTTACCGGCAACAGAAAGTGGTCTGTGACACTGGTTGTGGCTTGAGCATATACGAGACCTCAAAGTCCACCTCCATAGTGAATCACCTTCTCTAGCAAGACCACACTCATTCCAACAAGGCCATGCTCCCTAAGAGTGCCTTCCCTTTGGGGGACATTTTCTTTCAAACCACTACAATGCCTAAAATCTGAATTTCTACATATATAAAATTTAATTGGGTAAAGTTTTCTATATTTTCTAGAACTAAATAATTGTAGAAGAGGCTAGGCAACTTTTAACAAATGAGCTTTCTCCATTGATTATGATATATACAGGACAAGAAAATGACGTACCAAAACTAAAGCAGATCTATGATGGTGACCAACCTTTGGTTTGTATTGTAACACATTCTTGAACTACAGTACTTGGGCTCTCCCAGTCCACTTCACAAGTGCCTACTTAACAACAAAACCAACAGAGCTGAAGGACTTAGGAAGATATTATTCAAACATTTATATGTGCAGAAGAAAAGGCCATGGGCTACTGAACTACATGTGCTAAATCATGCTTATAAATAAATGTAATTTCTTTATCAGCCCAACAAGCATTTATGTGAGCAGAAGAGAAGACTATGTACTATTAGCACTTCATGTACATGATCATACTTAAAAATGAATTGATTTTTTTTCCTTACTGAAAACTGACTGAGAAAGTATATTGAATTTTTCACATTGGAAGACAACCAGAAAATACCCATTTGTGCAGATTTTTGCATTACAGCTATAGAATAAGAAAATGTATAGATATGCATGTGAATTCAAACAAAATATTAAAGTTTGTGACAAAGTACTTGCAAAATAATTCTATCCATGTAAAATTAGAAACAGCAAGTGCATTATCAATTATAGTACTTATTATTGTTTGGAATATATTGATAATTGAGCTAAAGTCATGCAGTTGATTCCCGGATGTACCAGTTTACAACTGCTTTGTTTCCAAGATGCAGGATGAATCACAATGGCCAGCTGTCTTTGAAGGGAGCATTATTGATAAAGAGGGATAGGGAGCCAGTATGTGGACAGATGAGTCCAATTCCATTACAATGACTGGAAAAACACTTCAGCACATTTTCTGGAAAGAATGGGTCAGCAGCTTATTGCTTATTTCAGACTGGCACCAAGCACGTGTCCCTCATAGACAGATGCTTAATAATAGTTCTTTGTAATGTTAATAACTGTGATGCCTACATGTGTTTTAATGCTAGATAGCTACTTTCTAAAACAGGTAATTTTATGGTTGTCGATCTAATTAAGGATATAGCCAGGGCATCTAAATATAAGCTTCTGAATTTTCAAGGCTCAAATTTTCAAAGACATATTAAATTTTCTGCTTTATAGGTGTGGGCTATAATACAAAATATAATAAATATGTGCACACACAAACACATACACACACCCCACCTGAAGTGAACTTTAAATTAATTATGTTTTTGAGTGTTTGCCTGCATTTGTATATATGGACCATCTGTACAGTGCCCCTGGAGGTCAGAAGAAGATGTTGGATTCCATGGAACTAGAGTTACTTGGTGGTTTTCAGCTGCCAGGTATGTAAGGAACATGTGCTGGTATAGCAATGTCCTTAAGCACTTAGGCATCTCTCCAGCCTCAACTATATTTCTGTTACAGTTTTAAAGATCAGGTAAGACAAACAATGTATATTTTTGGCCTAGACATTCAAAGAAGGATCATAACACAAAGCGCTCATTAACAATAGATACATTTCTACATAGTCCAAAACTATAGTTTGATCTTTATCTTTACAAAGTGGTCACCAACTACAGTAAAACTGAGCTGTTATCCCAAGACCCAAATATTTCTTTACTAAATTCATCTTATATAATATCTAGAAACCATTAATTTTCTTTTTCCAGCAATTAACCAGCATTACAAAAATTAGTATTTACATACAGATGTTTAAATTTTGTAAATTCCTTAAGGTAAAAATTGTTATTGAATATAATGTTATATTTCAGTTAAGAGTTTTCAGTCACATTGCAATAGAAATCATTTAATTTAATAGAATTTTCAGTATTATATGATGGAATTACTTTTAGCATTTCTGTGGATTTCATCTATGTAGTTAGATATTTATTAGGGAAATTATAAATGTTTTCTGTGAGAGATTAAAATGTGTAGAAATTTTACACTTAAATATTAAATTAAAACACAGAAATAAATAGTAGACATATCCAACATCTATTTAGTATTAAACACATGCTAATAGTACAAAATAGCTTATAGATATATACCAAAGTTTGCACACACACATCTATAGTAATGTTTATATCTAGCAGATGTACAAATGTATGTATAGAATGATTGCTCCTATTTACGAATTATCTTTTAATCATTCTAAATAGGCCAATCACTTTACAGATGAGTACAAATAAATCTGTAACATCTGTAAAGCAGAGACTATTATTTCTTGACTGTTTTTTCTCTTACAAAGATATACATGAATCCAAACACATGATATATCATGTCCCATTTTAACGCTGTAAATGTAATATTAAATATGACTTCCCAATGAAAAAATAACTTTAGGACACAAAAATCAAAGTGCCAGGCCTTACATTGCCCTGCAAAGACTCCTGTCACTGCATTCCATCAGGTCCCACACTGAAACATTGCGCAGACAGAGAAGTGGCATTAGGTGAGTGACAGGCATTGACAACATCCTCAACAAAGTTTATACTCTTAAGAAAACAGAGAGATGAGGCTGCTCATATGTCAATGATTTGAAGAAAAAAATGGATCTCTGATAAGCACAGCATGCAGAACAAATCCATGTGATTTGGCTGTTGACAGCATTTGAAAAAACGTCAGTTACCGTACATCTCAAGGTCAAATGGTACATGTGCTCTCTTCTTAATAAGACTGAACAAGATGTTATTTCACTTCTGTAGGTGAGCATATCTTTACAATAGCCAAATATTGAAGAAGCTGTTGTATAATGCAGTTTCCCATAAAACTGAAATAAAACAAAACATTTAGAGGGTACTAAATATGGTCTTACCAGGTGAAGATAAGGCATAGTAGTGTAGATATCAAAATCAAAACTTGATTAAACATTGCAGACTGTGTTCGCTGAATGGCTCTATGAAGATCATTCTAGAATAGTAAAATACATATTTTAAATTTTGATGAATACTAAATATACATGAATTTAATATCAAGTATTCTCTCTATATATAATATGTATATTTAAATTAACTTATGAGTATATTTTCATTTTACATGGATCTCAACATAACTTACAATACAATTATATTACAAAGACAGACTTTGGGAAGACCAACAAAGCACTGAATTTCGGCTTACTTACATTGCAGAAAACAGATTACAAGTTGCAGTTATTACTCCCAGATGTACCCAGCCTGCTATAATGGTGCAGAGCGTACCCTCAGTACTCAAGAGCCAAAGAAAGGGGAAATGTGAGTTCAAAACCAGGTGGACTGTATACCAACAGGCCATCTCAAAGACAAAACCAAAAACAGGAAACAAGCAAATAATCACTTCTTCCAAAGTTAATGATCTTATGGAAAAAATGCAAATTTCAGGAAAATAATGTATCAGTGAAGGGAGAAGAGAAAGGGAACTGCAAATATTATTAAAAATCACCAATGAATAACTACACAAATTAGAGCAGCCTGTAACATTGGTAAAAAAACAATTGCCCATTAATAAATATTAATGCTGATTTTAGTAGTGTTAATATTAAAGAAATGTGAATGAATAAATACTAATTTTGATTTTAGTAGTGTTAATATTAAAAGAAATATGAATGAAGTAGTGTTAATACTAAAAGAAATATGAATGAAGGTTGAACAGACACATGCAGTATTCCCCAGACAATAAAGCTTTTAGAAGGCAACCTGGTAATACAGACCAAAATAGTAAAGCATGTCATTTTTATTCTGTGTAATCACAAAGTAAGTGGCTACAGAAAAAATTCCAAACTTTAGTCACTTAAAATCCTAAAAGATGGGAATTCATAGTTATATATATATATATTTACTGTGAAATGTTTCTTGTATAAATAATGGATATTTATCACAATTAGTATAAAATATGTAATATGAAAATAGTTTAAGATATGTCTACATAATAGTTTTAAAAATACTGATTATTTCTACAATGAGGTGTTTAATTACACAACACTTTACCCACTACTTAAGAGCATGTGACAATTTCAACTAAAAAACTGAGTCGGTTACTTTCACATATGACTTGTGTGCATTTATCAAACAGAGCATGGAAATAATTAAAAATGTTGAATCAAATGGCAGTATTTGTTTTTTTTCATATTTTTTCCCAATTTTCTGTCAGTCTCGAACTTTTAACAATTCACTTTTATCCATCTCTTAATTAGGGAAGCATGAGAAAATAAATGTCACTGATAAAACAGTCTCAGTTCATTATTTTAGTTTTTGTTTAGTGCATTAAGCCATGACTGTTATGGAAACAATCAACTGAGTTCACTGGCCTGAATTTCATCTCTTATTCTTTAGCTTCTTAGAGCATATGGGCTAATGATCAGGAAAATTATCTATGACTCAACATTTAGAGAGAGCTGGAAAAGCAAAGGACAGCAATGGCTAGTGAGTCCTACACTAATATTGCTAACAGTCTATTTCTCTTGAATACTGACTGACTAATAGTTCCTGTCTTGCAGGGTTATTTTTCTAACAGCTTAGTACACAGCAATGCACAAATATCGATTTGATTCTGAGTGCATTTTTTCATTAGCAATTTATTTAGTGAAATCGTAATTCTTCGGGGTAAGGAAGACAGCAGGAGCTACTCCATGGGCCACGTTCATCCACATTTTCCTGCCATTGGCTGTGTGGTTTTCTGAGAACCGTGGATTACTTCACATAAGTATTTAGGAACACTCTGCTGGGAATGCTCAAACGTTATTCTAATAATTCTTTGTTCAAAGCTTTTGGCATAATGTCTGCCATAAAGGTCATTTAAAAGAAAAACAAGTGTTAACACTAACAAGTGTAATTTTCCATGAAATGCAATCAAAGATATTAAATCTTCCATACACCAGACACAATATCTTGCATGTCATATATGTGTGTGTTTACACTTTATTCTCATTGCAAGTTTGCAACTAAATTACTTTTAGTTTTTGTAAGATAAACACATTAGCCCAGAAATTAAATCAGATGCCAATTTAAGTGTACAGTGTGTAGGAGGCAGGTCTGCTGTGGTTTGAAAATGAAATGTCTCCATAGATTCATTTGTAGCAGTATTTAGACCACAGCTGCTACACTGATTTCAAAAGTTGTGGATTCCTTATCTTGTAATTAAAATTCACATCCTATGTGTGTGAAGAGGGTATACATACATGTGTGTCTGTGCATTTGGATACCGTAGAACCTCTTTGAGTGCATGTGGATATCATGGGCTCTTATTTGAAAATTGGAGGACAACTTGCAGTTCGGTCTCTCCAACCATGTGGACAGAGATCAAGTTTCCAAGCTGGGTGGTGGGAGACTTCACTTACATATCCGTCTGACCAGCCCATTAGTGGAATATGGATTCTTGATGAAGAAATAGGTCATTGGGGAACTTGAAAGTTATAGTTCAACTCCATTTCCTACTGTCTCCCTACTTACTGACTACAAAAATGATGTGACCAATCATACATGTCCTACCATGATGGAATAGCCTATAATTATAAGCCAAATAAACCCTTTCTTCACTAATTTGCTTTTTAAATTCAGGTGTTTGGTCATAGTAATGACAAAATAAACAGAAAAACAAGCAAGTACTCAGAAGGTGCATTTTTTGCTCTGATAAATCAGGTAAGGTAGAAGTTATTCATTTGTATTACAACGCAAACACAATATAGGAGAGCTTTGAATTTTGGGTCAGAGGATTTTTAACATGTGTTAAGCAGAACTTAATGGGCTTTTCTGGTAGCGGTGTAAAAGAACAGAGGCTCAACTCACACGACTTCAGAGGGGAACAAGAAATCTATAGAGAACAGGGCTGGAAGTCATTGGAGTAGTATTCTGAAAACAAATCTAGAAACATGTTGCCTATACACTCACAACCTTCATGAGATTGAATAGATAAATAGACTTATGTTTAGCATAGAAAAGTTCAATGTAGGGTAATATTCAGGTTGTGACACTGTTACTATTGACTTCTTACACAGGTCTCATTAAGAAAGGGCAACAACTAGAGCTGAAAGATGTGCTCTATTTAATGTGCTATTTGACAGTAAAATAAACAAACTGAAAGTTGAAGGCTAGCGAGATGAAAAGCAGCTGCTACTGCTAAAAAGATTAGCACCCTAAAGAGCAATCAAGTGCTGTCCCTGGGGTCAGCACACAAGCAGCTGCTTTCCCAGCTTGGAGAAGGCAAAAATTGACAATCTCATCAAAAACTACTGGTTTTGCAAGCATGAAGCATACAAGAATGAGGGGTCACATCATCTTAAACCTGGGTTTTATTTTTCCCCAAATTATTTTTATTCAGTTTAGAAACATGATTGCTTCATAGGTCAAACTCATTTCCGTCTCCCACCCCTCCCCCACTGCCCCTTCACCAGCCCTCCAGCCCCCCACCCAATCCCCACACCATTCCTCAGGGAAGGTGAGACCCTCCATGGGGGACATACAGAGTCTGTCATTTCATCAAGGGCGGGACCTAGGTACTCTCCCATGTGTCCGGGCTGAGAGAGCATCCCTCTATTTGGAAAGGGCTCCCAAAGTTCATTCGTACTCCATGGTAAACACTGATCTACTACCCAAGGCCACAGAGATTGCCAAGACTTCCTCAATGACAGAATATTCAGAGTGTCTGGATCAGTCCCCTGCTGGCCTCTCAGCCATCATTCTGGGGTCCAAGAGCTACACCTTGTCTGGTCAGCTGCCTTTGTGGGTTTCACCAGGATGGTCTTGATCCCTTTGCTCATCACTCCTCCCACTCTGTCACTGGGTTCCTGGAGTTCAGTTCAGTGTATAGCTGTGGGTACCTGCCTTTGCTCTCATCAGTCACTGGATGAAGGTTCTAGAATGGCCTATATGGTGTTGCCCAATCTAATCATCAGGAAGGGGCTATTAAGGTAGTTTTTCCACTATTGCTTAGCAGACCAGTTGATGGTATATTTGTAGATTTCTGGAAATTTCACTAGTATCAGCTCAATGCTCAAACCTGTAATGACTCCCTCTATTATGGTATCTCTCATACTGCTCTCCTGTGTTCTTCCCCAGAATCAACCTTCCTGCTCCCCCATGATTTCTTCTTCCCTCTTATTCTCCCCCTCTCTTTTTCCAAGTTCCCTCTCCCCTCGCACCATGTTTCCAATTTGCTCAGGAGATCTTGCCTCATTCCACTTCTCTGGGGAATCATGCATATCTCTCTTGGCAACCTCCCTGTTTCCCAGACTCACTAGAAATAGGATTATAGGCTGAAACTCCCCTGTTCCATATCTAAAATCCATATATGAGTGAGTACATACCATCTTTGTCTTTTTGTGACTGGGTTAACTCACTCAGGATGGTTTCTTCTAGTGCCATCCATTTGCCTGCAAATTTCAAGATTCCATTCCATTTCTGCTGGTTAGTACTCCATTGTGTAAATGTACCATATTTTTTTCTATCCACTCTTCAGTTGTGGGGCATCTAGGCTGCTTCCAGGATCTGACTATTACAAATAATGCTGTTATGAACATAGTGGAACATACATCCTTGTTGTATGAACGGGCATCTTTTGGGTATAAGCCTAAGAGTGGAATTTCTGGGTCTTGTGGTAGATTGATTCCCATTTTCCTGAGGAATCTCCATACTGATTTTCAAAGTGTCTGTGCAAGTTTGCACTCCCACCAGCAATGAAGGAGTGTTACCCTTTTTTCACATCCTCTCCAACATAAGCTGTCATTGATGTTTTTGATTTTAGCCATTCTGACAGTAGTAAGATGATATCTCAGAGTTGTTTTGATTTGTGTTTCCTTAATGGCTAAGGATCTTGAGCACTTTCTTAAGATTCTATCAGCCATTTTAGACTCCTCTATTGAGAAGTGTCTATTTAGTTATACCCCCCCCCCGCGCGCTTTTTAATTAGAACCTTTAGTGTTTTGGATAGTTGCTTCTTGAGTTTTTTGTAAATTTTGGAGATCACCCTGTCAGATGTGGGGTTAGTGAATAGATTTTCCCATTCTTTTGGCAGCTTTTTTGTCTTGTTGACTGTGTCCTTTGCCTTACAGAAGCTTCTCAGTTTCAGTGTGTCCCATTTATTAATTATCGATCTCAGTGTCTGTGCTACTGGTATTATATTCAGGAAGCAATATCCTGTACCAATTTGTTCAAGGGTACTTCCAACTTTCTCTTCTAAGAGGCTTAGTATGGCTAGATTTATGTTGAGGTCTTTGATTCATTTGGACTTAAGTTTTGTGTCAATAGACATGGATCTATCTGCAGTCTTCTACATGCCAATATCCAGTTATGGCAGCACAATTTGTTGAAGGTGCTATCTTTTTTCCATTGTATAATTTTAGCTTCCTCATCAAAAATCAGTTTTTCGTAGGTATGTGGGTTAATATCAGGGTGTCCAATTAGATCCCATTGGTCTACCTGTCTATTTTTGTGCCAATACCAAGTTGTTTTCAGGACTACAGCTCTATAACATAACTTGAAGTCAGGGATGGTGATGCCTCCAGACACTGCTATGTTGAACGGGGTTGTCTTGGCTATCCTGGGTCTTTTGTTTTTCCATATAAAGTTGAGAATTTTTCATTCAAAGTCTGTGAAGAATTTTGCTGGGATTTTGACGGGGATTGCATTGAGTCTGTAGATTTCTTTTGGCAGGTCTGCCATTTTTGTTACATTGATCCTACCTATCCAAGACCACGGGAGATCAGTCCATTTTCTGAGATTCTAATGGGTATTGCATTAATTGGTATATTGCTTTCAGTAAGATTGCCATTTTTATAATGTTGATCCTCTATATCCTAGAGCATGGGAGATCTTTCCATTTTCTGATGGCTTTTTAAAGTCTTTCTTTAAAGAGTCAAAGTTCTTATGATACAGGTCTTTCAGTTGCTTGGTTAGCCTTACCCCCAAGATATTGTATGTTGTTTGTAGCTATTATAAAGGGTGATGCTTCTCTGATTTCTTTCTCAGCCCATTTATTGTCTATATATACTAGGGCTACTGATTTTCTTGAGGTGATCTTGTATCCTGCCACATTGCTGAAGGTATTTGTCAGCTGTAAGAAATCCCTGGTAGAGTTTTTGGGGTCACTTATGTAAACTATCACATCATCTGCAAATAGTGAAAGCTTGGCCTCTTCCTTTCCAATTTGTATCCAGTTAATCTCCTTTTGTTGTCATATTGTTCTAGCTAAAACTTCAAGGACAATATGGAAAAGATATGGAGAGAGTGGAAAGCCTTGTCTTTAGAGGAATTGTGTTGAGTTTCTGTCCATTTAATTTGATTTTGGCTGTTGGTTTGCTGTATATAGCATTTATTATGTTAAGGTAAGTTCCTGTTATCCCTGATCTCTCCAAGAACTTTATTATGAAGGGGTGTTGGATTTTGTCAAAGACTTTTTCAGCATTTAGTGAGATGATCATGTGATTTTTATTTCTCAGCTTGTTTATATGGTGGATTACATTGATGGATTTTTGTATGTTGAACTATCCCTGCATCCCTGGGATGAAACCTACTTGACAGTGGTGGATGTTTTTTTTTTCTTTTTGGATTCAATTTGGCAGTGTTTTATTGAGTATTTTTGCATCAATGTTCATGAGGGATATTGTTCTGAAGTTCTCTTTCTTAGTTGTGTCTTTGTGTGGCTTGGGTATCAATGTTATTGCAGCCTCATAAAAAGAGTTTGGCAAAGACCCTTCTGCATCTACTACATGGAATACTTTTATGAGAATTGGTATAAGGTGTTCTTTGAATTTCTGGTAGAAATCTACACTGAGGCCATATGACCCCGGGCTTTTTTTTTTTTTTTTTTTTTGGTTGGGAGACTTTTGATGATTGCTTCTCTTTCCTTAGGTGTTATAGGTCTTTTCAAATTGCTTATCTGTTTTTGATTTAATTTCGGTAAGTGATATCTATCCAGAAAATTGTTCATTTCCTTTAAATTCTCAAATTTTGTGGAGTATAGTTTTTCAAAATATGGCCTGTTGATTCTCTGGATTTCCTCACTGTCCATTGTTATGTCTCCCTTTTCACTTCTGACTTTGTTAATTTGCATGTTCACACTCTGCCATTTGGTAAATTTGGTTAAAGGTTTGTCTCTCTCATTGATTTTCTCAAAGAACCAACTCTTTGTTACATTGATTATTGGTATTGTTTTCCTCATTTCTACTTTATTGATTTCAGCCCTCGATTTAATTATTTCCTGGCATCTGCTCCTCTGGGTTGAATTTGCTTCCTTTTGTTCTAGAGTGTTCATTGTGCTGTTAAAGGATTACTGTGGCCAGGAAATGCATGACAAGAATAGAATCTTTAAAGGAGGCCATGACAGGCCACTGAATGAAGCTATAATAGTGAAGTTCACTTTGCAGTGGAGAAAGTACAATATAAGATATGGCTGGACCCTGGGATGTCCACTAAGAGAAGCTGTAGCCATATAAGGACCATCTCAAGAGAGAGCAGAGAGGCTATGTGTGTTAGGGGTAGTAGCCATTAATATCAGGATGATCATTTGAGCTGACCTATTTACAGTACAAGCCTTAGGTCACGAAGCTTCAGAATTTCACATTTTCCCCAATAGGTGAGTCTTACATTGGCAATTCTTTACTATAGCCATAATCCTTTGGTAATGGAAGTATTTATCTGACATTGTATATTAGAAGAGTCTAACTTTTTCAGGGACTCGCAGTTGAGAAAATGTCTTGGAATTCAGAAAAGTTTGGTCTTTGAGCAGTGTTGGAACTATAACAAAGGCAGACTTTTGAAATAGGAACAAACTCACTTTGCCTTACTAGGAAGTCATGAGCATATATGGGCCAAAGGTAGAATGTTGCAGTTTGCATAAGAAATGTCCCCAAAGACTCCTGTGTTTGAACACTTGGTGTGACAGTGTTTAGGAGGGTTATGAGAACATTAGGAGCTGAGGCCATGCTGTAAAACTTGGGATTTAATGTTTCCTCTCACTTCCTACCCACTGTCTTGCTTTCTGACTCAAAAACAAGATGTGCCCAGGGCTCCAAACTGTTGCTGAAATGCCTTTCATGTAGTGATGTAATGCCTTCCCTATTGTGGTGCACTGGATTCCTTGGAACAGCAAACTAAATAAGCTTTTCCTTCCTTAAACTGTTTTTCATTCGAGCAAAGCATCTTATTACAGACACACATGAGTACTGGAGTAAAGAATGACTAATTAATGAATGCCTTACAACTTGCTTGTAAGTAATGAAAACTGTGGTGAACACTTTCCACACATGGGTATAAATGATTCCTTCCAGGGAGCATCAGCCTTTGATGTGGAAGACTACAGCAAAGCAGTGAATGCAAGTCTTTCTCCCCCTCAGGCCCCTGGATTAGATCTGCCACACTGTTCAACACAAATGAATCTAGGAAAAGGATCACAAATGACAGCCACTCATTCTGAAAGAGCCTGACAAAACCCCACATTTTTATGAAACTTGAAATTATTCACAATTCATAATTGATAAAACATCTCTAAACCATAAGGCTTATGAACTATGAGCCACACATGCATAAAAAGAGACTTAAAAATGAAGGGTGCTCTTATTCAGAGGGACTGCTCAAGCATTTGGACCTGTGTAAGCAACAGTTACCTGCTGGATTGCTGAATTTAAAAAGCCTGAACCATTTTCTTTACCCATAACTGAACCAACTTAATACCTTGGGAATGCAAGCATTTTACAAATTTCCATTCTTATTTGGATATAGCAGATTAATCACTTACCTTTCATTGACTATGATATGCTATCTAATTATGTGTTCTATATAGTACATTAGTACATAGCAGTGGTTTACCACTAAACATTTAAATAGGACTATTTTTGAGACAGTGAATTATGGTAAAAGTTTTTACATGAAAATAATTGAAATTTCAATAACCTTGAAATTGAATAAATTGTATATGTTATGTAAATTTATAGGGGTTGATGAAATGGCAAAGGGATAGACTAGAGGGCAAATAATCTTTTTCTACCAAAACATTCAACATAAGTAAGACATAGTGAAAGCTTTAATTTTTTTTAAACTTTACTTTACTTTTATTACTTACAATCATATTTTCCAAGGCATGTTTGGCAAGCCAACAGTTTAGAAAAACTGGGACAAATAGATTCCTTAAGGTAGGCCAGAATATCTGAAAAACAAGCAAAAACTAAACTTTTATCTTGTAGAAAGAAATTGCTTCAAGAGGATTAAATAGAAACATAGAACAGAATAAAAGAATAAAAAAAGAGATTTAAAAACAGTGCTAAATACATTAAAAACAACACTAATGAATGGTCTTTTACTCATTGCTGAAGCCTTTCTTAGGGAAATCATTATAGAAGCATAAAGCCAGAAGATGTCAGATGTATCCATGTTGAATCTATTATTAAATCTTATAATGTGCCTCTTCCTTTGCTGTTCCTCTATCTGAGGTGGAAAAGGTACAAGAAGAGTCTTTTGCAACATATCACTGTCCTCTGATTCCACCACTTTAAGTGATGCTGAGAAGCTGCATTCACATGAACTGATTAGTTAGTTAGCTTGTCATTTAATCTAGTTCCAGCTCTCTGTAGATAAGTCACTCAAATTAAAATGTAAGAAGTGAGGAGCAGCTCCAGATAATACCTATTTATTTTCCATTTTTTCAAACAAAGTTCAAACGGTTCTAATTACAGTAATTATTGCTGTATCAAAATGATATTATAAACTAATGATATGAATGGCCTGCTCAGAATTCTATATGTAGGGGGCTACAGAGGAAGCCTAGGGTTGTTGCAGGAGGGGAAATTCAGAACTCTGAGGAGGTGGCTATGGGGCTCTCATTCACATTCCTATCAATGAAGAACTGAAGTGGGAAAATTCTATAAGCAAGCTAGAAATGAATGTGTTCTCCGTATGAGAATTGTGGTAAGTATTTCACACTATTTAGTATCTATCTTTAAAATTTCACATAACAAATAATGTAATTTTGAGGATCTTTAAACAATACTGACATCTATTCAAATGAGACCTTTGCATAAACTGTATAATTGTTTAAAAGGTTTCATCTTTCTATTGTGCTGGAACTTACTAGATTTCATTTAACTGTGCAATTCAGTCATCATACTGACTTTATTCCTTTTAAGGCACTAGATTCTATTCAAAGTCTCAATCCATGCCTCTTGGGTTATATTATGTAAAAGAATTTAGACATAGAGAATTTATCAAAATCTAATGACAGGTAACTCCTTTGAAGATGCTTGGACTTACTGAGATAATGAAGGGGACCGCATTGATTATTTCCAAGATGAATGGGATTCGTAAAATCTGTTCCCAGATATTTCCCTACAAATAAATTTTGAATAAAAGCAAAAGTCAGAGAAGTGCCAGGAATTAGAAATTCTCTAGTATTACCAAAACTTTTATTAAGAGTATTGGATCTGTATATGAATGCAACAATAGCTTATAAATAAATTTTAACCAGAATTATGCTCTTCAGTTTTGTAATGTTAGAAATAAAGTAGACCAGGCATAGTGTTTATAACATTTGAATACTACAATATGCTCTAAAATAACGTATTAGTAAGTAAAGTATGACAAAGGGACCTTAAGGTAAACTGACACAATTTGTTTCCACTATCGTAAGTGTACAAACTCATTGTCATGTAGCACAAGTCTTTTGTAAATCATCTTTATTTGTTAAATCAACAGGTATTATTTTCTTAAGTTTAATCAAATGTGAAGAGTATTTAATCATGTATATTCTAATCTCCCAATCTACATTATGAAACTAATCAAAACTGAATATGCAGTTTTCAGGCCTCAGTTAATAATGAACATATGGGGCCTCTTAACAGTTTCAAGGGAAGCTATGAGAACATTGAAACAGTTACAGGGATATTGCTGTTGTGGAAACCTTTCTCATTAAGCAGATGAAACACCCCTGAAGTTGACCTTGATTTTAAGGTCTGGGTTTGGCCTGAATGTGCGTGCCATGTTCTAAAAGCTGTATAGAGACTTAAGGGGGGAAATGAGTGTAAGGCCTGGTAAGGAAGGGTCGACTTTGAAGGGAGTCAATACTGAATACTGTATTTGTGGGATCCCAGTGAGTTCCCACAGGAGCAGATTTTAACAATCAGATTTTAACCCTGACATGTGAGTATCCCTGACTTGCAGTCTCACCTCTTACATTCTACAATGCACACTTTCATACCATAATGTGAACCAAAATACAGGCCTTGAAAAACCCAAATCCATCAAGCTGCCTCACACAGGACTCTCAGACTTCAGAACTATATTACAGAGTCACCATTCCTTTGTGAAATACAGACCAATACAATAGCAAATCCTAAGAATGCCCTCAAACTTTTAATCTATGAAGAGATCCATGCATTGGAAAAACAATTAGAAATCTTGATTGCCACATAGCAATAGCTCGGTATATTGCAGTAGCATAAGTATGTCCCTACCCCCCAAAGCATTGTGCTACAGCATCTATTTCCTAGGTGCTAAGATGTTAAAATTCTCTGTCACATTAGCTCATCATCTTCCCTCATGGTATAGCCAATGTGGTACAGGAAGAAGCAGGTGGGGGATGGGAGCACACCAATATCTTTTCTGGAAAGGAATGTTATGAGTGAAATGATGATTTTCTCATCCCTTCAAACTAAGTAAAAAGGACTCAAAGGAATCACTTAGATTCATGCAGACTTGAAGATATATTTAGCCGTTGCCTAACACATGAAGAAAAATAAGGAAAGAAAAAAATTAGAGCTGGGCTAAGAGCAAGACACAACCCCTTCAATTATGGCAATATTTTCGGGAGGAAGAATTCGATATAGAAAATAAGGAAGGAAACTGATCCTTTTTTAAGTGGATTTCCATCAAGAGGTGTGTGCCTGAGGTGACAGAGGACTGCAACAGATGGTGACCTCAGGAGCGTGAGATCTTTACTGGACCCCTCGAAGCTAGCCAAAGGCACTACATGAGTGAGCTTCAGCTAAAAGCCTCGGCAAGGACCCAGGAACTCTCATAGAGGAGGAGGAAGCTCTTGCAGTGGACATTCCAAAGGATGTCAGACCAGATGCTGGGGAGATAGTGACCACAGTCCCTGTTGGGTTTCCTCTGCTCTGGGGCCCCAAGTCAGTTGGAAACAGAGTGGAAATGGAAGTGTGGATGAACACCATGATGAGGGTAGTCTGGAAGAAGATAATCCATGCTCTGCACGCAAGAAAATTTACAATGATGCATCAACTGCTGCTTCCATCCAATTGGCATGGACCAGAAGGTGGATGCATGGATTTGGAGAAGTATAGGATGACCAGATTTTTCCCTACTGACAGTGACTCAGATATCTCCAAAAAGTCAGTTTTAACTGATTTTACTGATATCAGGATATTATTTATATTATAATGTAATATTTTTCCATCAGCTTGTAAATGATTACTATTCATTTTCCTAGTCCTTGTGATACAGTGAAGAAATTCAGTTCATGGCAATGTCTTATGACATTCATCTCAGTTTAACACATGATGTTTTAAAATGATTCTCACTTGAACCACTAAAGATGCCTTAAAACTGGCACCTTAAAACTGATGTGGCTGGTTTTGTTTCTGAATTAGCTCTAGTACTAGGGCATGGGTTTCTTTATAAATTTCTGTGTTTCTGTTGTCCAGAGAGAGAACTCCAAGCCCACAGTTACATTCCATGAAGACTTACGATTTTTACTCTGGCTGCTAGGTTAGCCTGTAGTTAGAACGTTCCTCTCTCCGTTCTAAAATCATCCACAGATTCATCCACATTAAATTTTACAGCTCCCTGGACCTGCCAAGCACTTTCTACTTCTGAAATTTTGTTTACATTTCTCCCTCTGTTATGTCTTCCTCCCACTCAAGAGTTTGTAGCAAGGATTGGGCTTATTTATGTAGCTAGTAGGACTAAAGTAATTAGACAAATGACTAACTGAATTCTCAATGATTTTATACATCTTCTCCTTTCTTTTAATGTAATATTTTAATTTTTTCAAAGAAATATATACCTTGTCAATAATCTACACTGAAAATCCTCGAAAGAAATTTGTAATTGGAAACTTGCCCAGATATAGGTAAATGCAAATCACTAGATGTAGAAACTATTTAAAACAGAAATTTTCTAGAAGATTTCAAAGTTGCATGTCTGCATGTCATTCTGAGGACTTTTATCTAAACTTTAGCTATAAGTTATAGTCAACAATAACCTGTGATGTCCAAACAGTTTATCATCCATATCAATACCCTGTCTTTGAAATTCTGACTAAGGTCAAATGTTTAATCCACTATTCTATATTGAGGTCCTGAAATCATGAATGTAATATGCCAGAAAGCCAAATTTATGCCTTGCTCCTGATTGAGCTCTCTCTCTGTAACACAAATCAAGTATCCTTGAGGTCCCTTTTACATTATGCTTACCCATACCACACAAATGACATTAAAATTTGCAAATAAAACAAGAAAATTTTCTAGTTCACATTGTGGCTTGCTTTCCCTTCCTTATCTAGTCAAACCTCCTGATTAGAATCTGCCCACTCATTCCTGTCCCACAGCACTTTTCTTACAAAATCTTTAACTGTATTATATTACCAAACATACATTGCCACTTTAAAACTCTTCCACTAGTCACACACTTTAACAAGAAAAAGTCCTATTATAAAGTACAAGGCACTATCTCATTTGGTGTATCTTTAGTTCTCTATATTTTAATTTAGCTTTAATCACATGTAGGTGTGTGTGTCAGCATGTCATATGTGCACTTGAATATGAGTGCCAGAGGATAATAGAAGCATTAGATTTTTCTCGAGTTGGCATTACACAGATTATTTTTTTAGACCACCTGACTTGGGTGACGCTCTGCTTAGGCACAGATGAAAGCACTCTTAAGCACGAAGCTATCTCTCTAGCTTTCTTAAAAGCTACCCAAGCCCTCAAGTAATTTTGATCCATAAAATGTGGCATAATGGGGTCATTGTATACATGTCTTCAAGTGGTCTTCCTTCCTGACTTCATTTTATATGCTAAATTACTCTGAGAAGCTTTATTATTCTTTTGTATCATTTTGTTTTGTATTTCTTGCATCCTCCTGGCATCAGTCACTCTAGGAAAGACTTGGCCCAAACAGAAGGTTTTGATACAGCTAGCACACTAGAGTAGATGTTAAAGCACATACAGTGATTCATAGACAAGACACGATGCTTTGATCTGTTTTTCACACAAATGCCACGAGGTATGAAGTTCCTAAATAAGTAAAGACTGTAATTGCATTATGCTGGCCACATCATGGCTGATTCATTGTGTGAGTGAGTGAGTATGTGTGTGTGTGTGTGTGTGTGTGTGTGTGTGTGTTTGTGTGTGATCATCTGAACTAAGTGATGCACTCATAAATTATCTTCGCTAAAATACATATTAAAATAAATATAGAAAGGATCCATGAGTCTCACTGATCATTAGGAATTCCCAGTGGATCTGCCTTATAAGAATCCACAAGAAAAAATTAAATTATGATGAAAAATAGAGCAAGCATTGATGGAAAACCACTATGCAACAAACTATAAACAATATCTAAAGACAAGCAAAGTGCCTCTAGAGATCATATCACTTATTTCACTTAATTTCACTTTCATTACAGTAACAAAAAGCATTTTCTCCTTCTAAGAGATAACTTGCTATCAATTCCACATGTATAATGCCAGGTTATTCTTATTGGCAGAGTTCAATAAAATGTAAATAAACCTTAATCCAACCATTTCAGTTACTATGGGCATGGTGGTCCTTAAACTGTAGCAAAATCCATGACAGAAAAGGGACTAGATATTATCACCAAGGACAGCAGACATCAGTTCCAAAAAAACACTATAAAAGTTGCAGGAATATGGCAGCCTAGGTGTTCTAAAGCCCGGTTTGAACCTAAGAATTACATATAAATATTTTATTCCTTGTGTTTGTTTGTTTTTGAGATTGTATATTAATTATATTTCTCCCTTCCCTATCCTCTCTCTACACGTTCACATATAGTCCTCTCCAACTCACCTTCAAAGTCATGGCTTCTTTTTTCATTGGTTTTATTGCAATTATATAAGTATTTATACATACACATATATAACCTGATGGGTCCATATACTGTTACTTTTGAAAGTATGTCTTCAGGGCTGATTGTTTGGCACTGGATAACCAATTGTAGTGTTCTTTTCTGGGGAGGGCCCCCCTCCCATTTCCAGTTTTCTGAAGTTGCCTGTACTTCTTTTTGTCGGTGAAAGCCTTGTGGGGTTTTCCAGCTCCATATGGGCATCCTCTCTGTTCAACCTATGCATGTGCAGTCTTGTTGTTAAGAATTTACTGGTAGTTTCTGATGTTACTAGGAGACATATCTCACACAGAATTCCTTGATCCTCTGGCTATTACAACCTTTCCTCCCCCTCTTCTGTAATGTTTCCAGAGCCTTAGGTGTAGGAGTTAAACATTTACTCATAGGGGATAAAAATAAGAATGTTCAATTTGCAAAATAAAAAATCTGATGGTTTATCTTCTCTGAATAGATTTCAAATAGTATATAATGAAGCTTACAGTGTTAAATTATGATTAGCGATATAAAAATTTCAAATGTCAAAGCATGGAAAACAAACCAAAGTATTTAGATATACTTGAACACATCTAGAAAATACAAGGTTTTTTTTTCAGATAAGTTATTATGGTGCTGTATTTCTCAGAATGAATACAATTTGGGGGTAATTATGGAACAAGTAATCACAGCCTTAACAAAAGCTTCTAGGTGTAATGAATTTTTATTTGTAGAGGTTTGGGAACCAGGCTGATGGTTGTTTCTGTTTTCCTTTGATTTGATGAATATGTATGTATAAATAGAGCTCTATATTAAAAGCAGTTGACAAAGACTTAGAGGGTATTTATGGTGCCAGTAGAATAAAAACTTTGGTGTTAGGTAATTATTTTGAATGTTTTGCCAAGAAGTTAGGAACATGAATGAAAGGATTAAATGAGCACAGACCTACCCATCTAAATAAAAGGAAATAATATTCTTCATGCCATGGATTTTAATTCATTATGTGCTAATTTACATATGTACTTAAAATTTAGTCTCCATGAGGCATTACACTCTTTTAACTGTTTAAAACTGAATTCTTTCTCATTGTAGAATGATGCTTGTTTAATACTTTATTTTTTAATATTAAACATATAAATATCAATATATTTACATGAATACATATAAGAAATATATGTTCAGTGTCTATAAACATTGATTTCTCAGAACTCCAAATATCAAAAATATTAAATATAGACAGAATTTAAAATGCAATTAAATACAATTTTTGCAAGCCTATCTTCTACTTTTTTAAATCCTAGTTTGTAGAAAGGGACACATTTTAAATTCTTATTTATAGGCTGTAAATTATTAACAATTATTTAATTTATTCATTGCAAAGAAGTTATGCAATACTGTACTGGCTAGGTCAAAGAGTTCATACATTTGACTAAATTTATGAGGGGAAAAGAAGATAATTAACAGAAATTTATTCTACTGCCACAAATTCATTTTTGTCTTTTCTATTTCCTTTGTAACTTTTTGGACCTTAACATCTATTTCTCTTCTAGATAAGCCATTAAAGTTTATGGAGGTCATAATAGGAATATTATATATCATCAAGTTCTGTCTGCTAAGCCTTATGCTGTTCTGCTCTCATTTTGTCAATGATAGGAAGCAATTAATTATGAATGTCATCATCATATAATTGCAATGGAAAATTATCCTGAAGCTCTTTGTATATTTTAAATGACTTCTTCAACCAGAGATGGGAGACCTTTTAGCAAAGCAGAAAAACCATTTTCATGTTACCTTTAGTTGGAATTTGGAGGCAATGCATTCACAAATGAATATTAATATTTGTCTGTTATGTTTTATTAAATAAGCATGCACAAGCGAAAGAGACATGACTGATACATCAAAACAGCCCACTTGCCTACTTAGTTAGATGTAAGTCTCCTATGCCTTGCATTCAACATTCATTGCACAGCTGAAGAGTAAACAATTTTAAAGGCAACCACAGCATTTCTATTTTGCATTTTCGGTGATTTGAGAATCTGTCCATCAGGACAAACTTATAGTAAACATTCTCTGCCAGGAGACACAGATTACAAAGTTACTCCCTCTGTCAATACAGAATATCACTAGGTAATGTAATATATGTGATTTCACACCTCTTATCTTCCATATTCTCATATGAGGATGGAACTTCATTCCACTTGGGGTCTAAGTCCCACTTTTCTTGTCTGGTTTCACACTCCCTTACATGAGATTTCTTCTTTCATCCTTCTTTATCCTACCTATTTTCTTTCTTCAAGCAATGCAGATAGTCTCCATCACTAGAAGGCCATCTCTGAGTTACTCAATGCTTCTAGGAAATTCCTGCCCCAGTAAAGCAACATTGCAGTTGAAACAAATTTTATTCTCAGTGGATATCCCTTGAGACCGCTTTGTGAAAGTGAAGAGGAACTCACTACCTCTTTGAGAAACCTCAGGCATTTTCATAGTTCACTTACTCTCACACAATATTGACCCTACTCAGATAAAGTAGACCTAGAAGAAACCTTGACTGAATTTGTAAGGACTACTTGATAAAAATTGGGGGATGAAAATTAGGAAATAAAGTAGATAATTAACAACAATTCTTTCAAAATTATGACTTTTTTATTCTTATGTTGCTCTGTGTGACATAAAACAAAAGTAGTACTTACTACCTCAACTTTCTTTTCTGTCTTCCAATTGCTATGTGTTCTCTCTAAAACCTACAAGGTGAATAGTTCCACCCCTCAAGTTCTTGGACTCTATTTTGGTGTTGATTGTATGCCTGCGAATTTTCTGACTCCCTTTATCATTTCTATGAACATGAACAGAGTTTAAATGAATCTTCTAGAAGATCTTAATCCTCACTCTCATGTATTTTAATATCACATCTCTCTGTTCACCATCAATGTCACAATCTCCAAAACCAATTCTGTTCCTTCTAGTTCCTACCTAGATCCATTTTTTCCTGCCCCCATGATATTTATTTATACTGTTCAACTCAGCTTCTTATTTCTGATTTATGTTGTGCTTATTTGTGTAATCTTCCACATCATGGCATTCTCTAGACTATAAACCTACTGAAAAAAAGAGTCATGAAGTGTGGAGTTCATTAAATAGGAGCACTGCATAAATACTGTGCTAACCAAACAGAACTTCAACAGCAATTAAAATAATTTATTAAAATAAGCCCTAAAAGATACGATTGTTTTTTTAATTTGTTGAAGAGATTGAAAACAATAAAAATGAGTGCCATTCCACTGCCTCAATAGAAGCATGCCTATAATGGGTAAGTAAACACACAGGAATTAGTGAAGTACTTCTAAGACACCAATGAAAACCCTACCATATTATTGCAGTTTTTTTATCACATACTAGAGAGGCTCTGAATAATTAAAGTGGTTTAAGAAGAGCTTGCCTTATCCCCAAGTATGAATTATTAAAAAAAAAGAAAACTTGGTAAATGTTAGCTGTGAGTTAGTTCTGCAGTAGAAAACTAATTGGACTATCTTACCTTATAACTGAGATAACCAAGGAGTATTGTTTCAAACAGACTGATCAATGCCACTGAGACCTAAAAACAAATTGGAACCTAATGAGAAAATGCAAAGTAAATAAAATAGGTTTTCACAATGTGCTAGTAACTGTGTATGAGTATATGAGAAATTATACATATGTATAAATATCTGCATATGATATTTATATATTCACATAGACACATACAAGTGGTACTAGTACATAAACTTCAACCAGCAGATGAAGAGAGGCACACAATATTTTACTACCTCATGTTTTCATAATCTTACATATTTTTTCTATTTATTTATTCATATATTTATTTACTTTGGTTTTTTAAGACAGGGTTTTTCTGTGTAATAGACATGGCTTTCCTGGAACTTACTCTGTAGACCATTCTAGCCTGGAATTCGCAGAGATCTGCCTACCTCTGCCTCCCGAGTGCTGGGATTAAAGACTTGTGCCACCACACACATCAATTTCACATATTCTTAATGACTATTGTTAATTGCTTTTCCTAAGTATAAATGTGGGGGGTTATATATTCAGACTGACAAAGGTGGGAAAGATCCACAAAGATTAGGATCACACACAATTGCCTTTCCCCAAAACTTTACTGCTTAAATGAGTGTTTCCCTTCAGAAAACCAAATACAATGCTCAAATCGAGTGTATTGGGTCATTTCCTCTACTTTGGACACTGCAATGCCAACATCCTCGAACATACTACTAATGGGCAATTTCAGTCATGCAAGATAATTTGAGATTACATAACAATTCTGTGACCAATTGTGCTCTTCTGTTTGGAAATTCTGGTTTTGTTTCACTTTAGACCAAAGCCTTTCTGTACTTGCTCTTAAGTATATGCAGTTGTTACTGGCACCGTCAGGACACATTGGAGCAGAAAAGTAGGTAAAGAAATATGGAAATTTTTCCTATGTGACATTTTATTATGTGTTTACTTTTTGTGATGCTGAGGAACTGAACCCCAGGCCTCTCAAATTTTAGTCAAGTGTTCACCCACTGAAATACATTTCCTACCTTCTCATTAGTTTAAAATGGAGACTAGTATGAAATACACTAGCACAGAAGAAATTAGTCAAATAACTGTAATTCTTGTATAATTAAGATTTAAAACAATTTAAACCTCGGTTTATTTCTTGTAGTTTCAAATTGTATTCCCTACTAAAATGAAACTTTTTAATTTAAGTGAACCGTAAATGTTAGTACAATGAAAACAGATGAATGTCCACCAATGCGAATAAGATCTATTCATGTATGCACGCATGCAACTGGTTTTTTATATAATAGGAAGCTAAGAATATTTTGATTTTCTCCACAAACATTTTTTCATGATAACTCTGCCAGTTTCTAATAGCATATTGCTGCGTGAGCTCCAAAAAATTCTAAGACATATTTTGCATACCTCCCAGAGTAGAATTTAAGTTAAATAAAAACAATTACGGGAAGCTATATGGTTTTGTGAAATATTAATTTATACTAAATTTTTATTAATGATTGTTAAAGTATTTATAAGAGAGACTGTAGGACTTATTTTAATAGAGATCTAATATTTGGGAAGGCATTTGGAAAGGATATTTGTATACCAATTTGCAATGCATGAGAAGTCAGTGTAAATCAACGTAATTAAATTCACTTAGATGTAGGTATCATCACACAGCATATTCAAAATCATTAACTATCGTACATTATATGAAAAAAGAATCCGCCTGGCTTTTTAGGGCACTCAAACTCCTGATCTAGATAACAATGTACTAAAAGTGAATGCAGTCAATGAATCATAAAATTTTTCCTGCAACCTCCAATTATTCTTTATGTTAGTGGTCCTATCTTCCATTTAATTTGCCCTTTTAAGAACTAACAGAAAATTTAAAAAATCTATAGCACATAAATATAATGAGAAGTTACAGGATCTTAAAAAACAAATCTGTGCACCAAGACTAATAGAAACAAAAATTAATCCTATGTGGCTGACTCCAGGGAACCCTGATGTGTAACTGAGACATAGACAATTTCCTCTTGTCTAGGGTTTTACTTTCTTAAGACTCCATTGGCCTCTAAGCTTATACATTCATTTATTTAATTCTCCCACATTCCTCTAAATAAAAAGGACCCACAAATGTGGTATTTGACTGCTCTTAAAGGATTTACAAAAGCGTTTCATGTAAAGTATCTTGGGAGACATGGAAGGTTGAGATACTGCTTTGTTTCTTGTTTATTTACCTATTTTAATTTTCCAACACCCTCTGATGTCTAATTCAGATTGCAAGGAAAATCACAAAAGATAGAATGCAAGACTCAGGAAAACAAGAAGAAATAAGTCAAAATGTTAGTCTATGCTATACATTAAGGTTAGCCATAAAGGCAAACTCAACTTGAACATCAACAGCTCACTTCCCAACAGTGTTTCTCTGTGAAATAATAATGAATCTAGAAATATAAGAATAAAATAAAATTGTACATAACCTGTAAACCCCATAAAGGTAGACTTCTGTTAACCCAAAATATGTGAGACCTATGGAAAGAAAAATTAAAATGTCAGTTTTTTTTACTGTGAATAAGTCCATTTATTTTAAAATCTTGATTATATTTGTAAGAGTATCAATAGCAATTAGCGTATAAAAGGTGATAAAATATAGAAATTGCATGAGAAACATAAATGTAATGTCCTGAATATAAGAATTTTACTAATATTAGATTCTACCCCAATAAAAACACATCATATTTTAATTTACTTTTTATCATTGTTAATAGTAAATGATAAATAAGACAAGCCATTAGTTAGAATGATATGGCAAGACAGGTACATCTCAAAAAGTCATTAGTGGCTATTCTACAAATGCAAATACTTTATTATTTTAAAATTATTTGTATTTGAATAATACAAAATGATCAACAAAAATAATCAGAATGTAGACAGTAACTAAAAGTGCAGAGTATATGAATAGTTTATATTTGCATTTCTATAAAATACATTTAACTTGCATAAAAATCAAGGTGACTGAGGTCGATATAAACTATATATAAGTTGTTGTCCTTAGTTGAAATAATGGTTCTTAGGAGTGTTCTTTAACTGTTACTCTTTCTGATAGTAACAAACTGTTTAACCTCCCCGATGAACACCACCACAGAGATAACACAGCACTGATTAAACTTGTCATTCAGAAAAATAAAATCTACCCAGGAAAAGATGAAAACTATTGCAATATCTTTTTTCATGAAACAAACATAACTGTCCAATACAATTAAACAACCCACTCTTTGAAGTCATGAAAAGTCAGAAATCTCATAAAGCATTAAATGTGTTTCCAAACACTGAAATTTCTTTTTGTAGTATGTAGAATAATAAGATAGTCAGAAACTCTCCCAACTGTGTTTACTTGAGACTACAGAAAGCCACTGTGTTGATCATTACTATATAGTACTCTCAAGTTTCACAGTGGTACATCTCTCTGGCTAAATGACATCTTCAATTACTCCATCTAGGGATTTCCCCACAAAGTCTGTTGTCCTATTACCATTGCTGATTTCAGAAAGTAGCTTGGAGTCTGTTGTGTCTGCTCTCAGACACTCTTCTCTGCATTTCCAAGCACTTAACCCATTAGGCAGTAAACCACTTCACTCCCCACCAAGTGCATGTAGAATCCATCTACTTTAATCTTCACCACACTGACACTTTCATCTAAGAACCTCCCATAGGGGCAAGGCAAACCACTCTGAGGTTTTCGGTTTGGCCTTTTTGAGATCATACTAGTTTCTAAGCCAAAATCAATTCATTTGCCATCTACAATTTTTAAATTGGAATTGTAGTATTTTTTCATTAAAATAAATTTTGGATCAGATCACTCTACCACACATTGTAGCTTTTAAAAATAAAAATTATACTGTTACATATACGCAGAATGCGTAGGATCAGTCCCATGCACACTCCCTGGTTGTCAGTTCAGTCTCTGTGAGTCCCTTTGAGACCAAGTTAGTTGTTTCTGTGGGTTTTCTTGTGGTATCCTTGATGCTCCTGGCTCCAACAATCCTTTTTTTTTCCCGAGCTCTGCCTATTGGCTGTAGGTTTGCATCTGTTTGTATCAGTTGCTGGATGAAGCCTCTGTTGACAAGTGGGCTAGGCACCGATTCCAGCATATCAGATAGACAGGATAGACAGGTGGAAGATTATATGTCTGGCTTGGTTTCCCACTCCCTCTTCTTCCTCTTGTGGTACTCCTAACAGTGGGAGCAGGGGCTACCTCTGACTCTTTCATTGGCTTTTGAGATCCTACTTCTCATACTGGGTTGCCTTGCTTGCCCACATGGGGAGGTGCTTAATCTTATTGCAACTTGATATGTCACGTTTTGTGAAAGAGTGGATTGGAGGTTGGGGGCAGAGTAGGGCCGGAACAGAGGGAATGGAAGGAGAGAAGGGAGGGGAAACTGTGGCTAGGATGTAGAAGAAAGGAGGGAGGGAGGAAAGGATGGAGGGAGGGAGGGAGGAAGGAAGGGAGGGAAGGAGGAAGGGGGAGGGAGGAAGGAAGGAAGGAAGGAAGGAAGGAAGGAAGGAAGGAAGGAAGGAAGGAAGGAAGGAAGGAAAGATTAAAACTCTTGAAATGGAAATCTTTGGTGATTTCTGTGTGTCATTTGCTCCTTCCTCACTCAAGCCCCCTTGGCGTGTTCTTCTCTCATCTCTCTTCAGAATCAGGTTACTAGGGGAACTCTCTGAGAACGTCTTGACCAATGCTGGTAATTCATCTCTACAGCTTTGTTATTCCTCAAATTTATCCTGCAACTCATTATGCCTGAAATTTCACATTTATTGGAAAACATTTTTACTTAATGGCTATTTTCCCCAAATTATAACATCTATATTTTCAATGACTATGCTTGTTTTACTTACTGTTAGAAACCCAGTATTTCACTAAGTATACACACACTACAGATTAGCCAATCAGTATGAATTATACATGGGGTAAAATAAGACAAAGCGATAGCTTTGAGAGCACCATCCTCCCCCAATCATTTCTTGTATTTTCCCTAACAATTGAGAAACAAGGAACTAAACAAGTATGAGAGATGAAAGGAAGATACTAGCTCAGTATTATCTCAGTACTGATCAGTGTATGCAAAAGATAGTGGTGGAGAGATGACTCAGTGCTCAACAGCATTGACTGCTCTTTCAGAGGACCCTAGTTCAATCCCAGCACCCACATGGCAACTCAGAACCATCTGTAGCTACAGTGGCAGGAGATCTGACTACCTCTTCCTGCCTCTGAAAGCACCAGGCACACATGATGCAGAGACATACATAAAGGAAAAACACCCAGTCATAAAATAATAAAGTAAAATTAAAACAAAAAATTTAAAAATTAAGACAAAAGATAATAATTTGTCAATAAAATAAGCTGATAAAAAGAACACTGAGATTTTGAAAACAGTTGACAATTATCATGGCTATAATAAGATATATTTAATATAGTTATATCTATGAAGGAATTTTTAAGATTGTGACTGTTTCTTGGCAAAGCATAGAAAGAGAACTTAACACTTAACACTTAAACACTTCTAAATTGAAGTGAGACCTGCAAACATTGTATCATATAAGTTTTATATTGTACTTAAGGAACCTATAAATCTCTAATATATAATCTTACATGATGTGAAATCAATGTTTTAGATCAATTTAATATTAAATTCAATACATATATAAAATGTACATTTTTGCAAAAAGCTACCATGAAAACTATCCATTAGAAAATTGATGTGTCATCAAGAAAATTGAGTTATCAAACCTGCAAATTCCTAGATAAAGCCCAAACAAGGGAGAGACGAAATCAGAACTGGCAACTATAGCAAAGTGACACAGAAAGCTTCATCCCATCGGCAATAAAAGTGGAAGGAGAGGAAAATTAATAAAATGTTTACTATAGCAGTACTTGCAAGAAGAATGTAACTGGAAGCTATCTGACAACTCAACAACCAAACATCATCATCATGAAGATGGCCGTGTATACACACATAGGCTTCTCTTACATGAAGGGCAATAATTACTCTAAGTGTCAGATGAACCTTGGTATGTGAAGTGAGTTGCAGGGGTGGCATATTCAGAATGTGGAGCATAGTTACGAAAAGAGTCAAATTAAGCTCGAAGGGCTCTTCCTAGTCATTAAAATTACTGATAAAGACAGGAGTGTACTATCCAGTACCTAAACCAAGCCATTGAATTAAAAAAAAACTCCCCAGCCCACAACATAAAAGAGCAACTAAGCAATTGGTATAGTACTAGGCTTACATTTCTAGGATATACATAATCTAGTTCTGACCAGAATATAGAAGAATAGTAGTCTGCTAGCCTCCATACTAGAGAAGTTTTTCATTAACATAACCTTGTGAAACGTAAGAAATAAAAACCCTAACTCGAAGTCATACAAACAATAATTAGGCACACCAACGATGATTTACTTTTCAGAAACTAAACACCCAGAAACTTTTGATGTGCTGGCTGTGGCCAAGTTGGTCTTCATTCACTGTGAAAATTCTTCCTTCCTTCCCATGCTACCTCAACCAGACACTCATCTCAGCCCTGTCAAAGTCTGATGATATGACTGAATCTCTTGTAAGATCCTTCTGTGAAATTCCAGTCAAAATGAAGATGGTAAAGTTTCAAGAGTTTTAAAAGTTATGTTTCTTCCTCATGCATGTAGGTATTATAACTATGGTATAAGGCCATTGTGTGTGTGTGTGTGTGTGTGTGTGCGTGCGTGCGCACACACGTGTGTGCATGGAGCACACTTTATAATATATAGAAAAGTTTTCAACTTATTGGGAATATCAGTATTAGATATTTTCTTAAGTAAAAAAATTAAATTTTGAGATTTGGTGTTCTATTATTTGGTGCTGTCTGAATCTACACAGTAACTGCATAGGGAAGAAAGCAAGGCTATATTATAATATTCATTTCTATAGTTGATCAAATATTGAAAAAACACTGGCACTGGGCAGTGGTGGTGCACACCTTTAATCCCAGCACTCGGGAGGCAGAAGCAGGAGGATCTCCGACCAGCCTGGTCTACAGAGTGAGTTTCAGAACAGCCAGAAATATAAAGAGAGGCCCTGCTTCGAAGAAAAAGAAAAAAAGGCGTTGCCACAATTCTGTTTATTCTTTGAATATCTGTTGTCATTAGATAGGGCTAATCTTTTAAATTGTATCACAATAGATGTTATATTAAGCACCAAGTGCTAATTCAAGAATTTCCAAAGAACATCCAATTCCCTTTCTAGAAGTTCCAACTGTAGCTCACAATCCCAGGGTTGATGTTGTCACAGCCATTAGGTACTTGAAGCAGCACAGTCAAGAGAAGGGAGAGATGTAGTTCTCAGTTGGGTTGGCTTTACCCATTCTGTAAAGTCTAAGATTAGATTACTGTTGTCACCCACAGTGGGCCTCTTTACAGGTTTGGATAGCTCAATTAACATAAGCTTACATCACAATTGCTTACAATCCTGTATTGAGACTTTCTTCCTAGGTGACACTTGATTGTTTTGTAAAAGAAAACTAACTGCCAAGATGTGCTTCCTGACTTGAAACTGCCACTTATTACCATGATCACTGCTAATGATAAAACTAACAATCAGAATCACTTAAACATGTTCAAAAGTCAAAGCAAGGTTTTACATTTAGATAACATTAAAATGAAAGCTTCTACAGGCCCTGAGGAAGCATAGTTCTTCTTCTCATACTGTCCATAGTCCATACATACACAAAGCAGTCTCATGCTCTACTACCTTGAAATCCTTAGTTACACACCACATGAATCAATATTTACAGTATCCATGATGTCAAACATGCACAGTAAAAGCATTTGCTTATCTTTCTGTACTGCAATAGCTTCATATCAGTCTGATTCCTGGGAGAGGCTTAAAAATAAAGCAAAGAAGCTCAAAATATCTGCATCCTTATCAGGTCATAACTATAATTAAATAAATCTTGTTTCTGAATTAGCCTCATTATTTTAAAATAGAGCCTGAACCCATAAAGGCCACTTCTGTTTTTCATTAACCAAGCCTGCATTGACAATAGAACTAAACAAACAGTGTACTTGAATTGGAGACATAAGTTAGTTTATTATGGTTTTTAATTACAGTAATCTAGTTTTTCAAATGTATATCCTCTGTAATTATGAATGAATATTCTTAGTAATATTACACAGAAGTTAATTGTAGGAAACTTTGTTCTCTTAATGTTTCCAAATAATCAGATTTTATTCTGCTGTCATTTACCAACGGCTTTTTCCTTTGACAATATCCTTCATGGACAATTTTGAAATTTTCAGGTCTCTCTAATGTACATTCTATTCATAAATCACCAAGTTTTTAAAAAAAACTTCAATATTTTATAGAAGGATGTTTTGGAGGTAGCTTTTTAATGACACAAAGACAGAAGCATGTAATATACTCTGACATGTATACGTTGACATCTTTAGACATTGGTCCTCAAGTAATCTTTCACCAGAAACATGTCAGTAAAATTGGAATGCACAGTTCTATTAACAGCAAATTCTAGCAACAGAACCTCCCAAGACCTCTGATAATTATGACAGAAAGCTAAAAGACAACATGGTTCTTGATCTCAGCAAACTTCTACATAAGACAGAGAAACAGATAGGAAATATAAGAACAATGCATTAGGGTTTCTAAAAGAAATATCTGGAAGTTGTGCATACAGTACTACATAAGCCTCCCAATGAGAGTAGAACTAGACTACAGGGAACAATGCCAAGTATGGACTTCATATTTAAATATTAGCCAAAATGTTGATATCCTGGGGGTTCCAGGATCACTCACTCACACACAACACACACACACACACACACACACACACACACACACGAAGTTAAATGGATGAATTTCGAGTGGCAGAAAGGGAAAACACATTTTTAACAAGCCTCAACATAAAGGAGGGCACAGAATGTTCTAGTGATTCTCAGGAGGTCACCACAGCTAGAGTTGGAAATGAATCAAGTGGCATAAGCAAGAGTTAGAATATAAAGCTATGCCATTTTCACATTTGTTTACTCACTCTTTTAAAAAATGACTACTTTTCACTCTGCTGGCTTCCGTAATTCAGCCAGTGACCTATGTTTATCCTCATGCTCACAGAAAACTCAGGAAGTATAGTGAGCAAGAAAAATATGTACAATAGGTAAAAGACACAAAGGCACTAGAGAAAAATAAGCAAATGTTTCTAGAGATCTTACAGGGAGAATGCTAAGAGAAGTTCCATCATCGAAAGCCTGTGTGAAGGTCCTGAGCTGTATATGTGTCTCCTGTGACCTAAGAATAGAAACAAGGTCCAGAGAAAATTGGCAGGGGCCCAGCAGTCACAGTTTAAACAACAGGAAAAGTGGGCTATAATGAAGGCACATTGTCATCCAAAGCCGGTGAGTAGGAAGTAGGCTTACACTTTAGGGGCACAATGACTCTCCTGTCGAGAATAAAGCAAAAGGGAACACTGGTAGACTGGCAAGAGTGCAGAGACAGGCCACTGTAGCAGTCCTGAAGAACAGATGTGGCATGCAGGCAGATGTTGAATGCATGAACAACAAATGTCCTGAAGGGTTTTCATCTGCTATAGACACAGTTGGGAGTTAAAGGGAACTCCAAAAACGGTCAAGTCAGCGTTCAGTCGGAATTACCATCAGGAAAGGAGACAGCTGTGACTACGAGGGAGGGGGATTTTGAGAATGTTGTACTTCGTCGTGAAAGAGAAGAGTGCACAGTCAGGTGGATGATGTGGAATGGAATATATCTGGAACATAAGGGATGGGCAGGCATTGTACAACGTGGTAACTGGAAAGTCGGCACGATGAGATTTGTCAAGAAGGTTCCACAGCAGAAGTAGCAAATATGAGCGAACCTCTGCTTCTGATTTAAGAATTACACGGTAAAATTAACTGTACGTTGATGAAAATATCATATGCCATGAACTGAATCCAATGCTAGAAAAGCAGGAGTCCCCAACAGCTTTTACACAGGCACAAGACTCCTGCAGAAAACTGAATGTTTCAATGAACTTCTCTCTAACCTCACTCACAATAAATTGACTGAGATAGACCAAAGATTCATGAAAGTGATTCACCATGATTCAATTTCATAAATAATTATCACACACTATTACAGTAGCAAAATTTGACTTGTTCATTTAGTAATCCTCATCTGATGTCCAAAACAATAAATAAACTCAACTGTACACTCATTTTCTAAACTGGCTGGATTACCAAGTGTGTGTGTATGTGTGTATGTATTTAGCTTATATATTTTTGTTTTGTCTTCATGAGAGAAACTTATAACAGGTGTTAGTTTCTCCATTGAATGTCATTGTAAACTTACTAGGTTGGCCAAGAGTCCTGGGTTTGAATGAGACCAAATTTATGTATGAATGCCATTACACATTGAGGCATCTTCCCTACTGTTCTTGAAAAGGACAAAGCCTAAAAGGAAGGCAATCAGCAGAAATATGTTAAGCAAAGTAAGAAGATTGTGAATGAAAAAAACTAAAATACATCAATAAATTACTGTCACTTAACTAAATAACTATTCATAGTTGAAAGCCATCTTCAGAGATTCATGAGTGTTTTCCTTGGAGGGTGACAAGTGCATTATGACAGAAAGTATGAAGAAAGCAGACTGTATGTGATTCAGTAACAGAAAGGCATTCAATGAAGTGAGCCCATTTTAAGATAATGTTCAAAGTATTTTGAGTGGCAACCGTGCATTCATAGAACAGAGTTCAGATTTTCTTTAAACAGTAATATACCCACAAATCTTGGAAGATATGAATTACCCATCAGTTCAAACACATGCCTCACACTCTTTAAAATGAGAATAACATCCTGCAAATTGAAATAATTCAAAACAATTAAAATACTGTGGTGACCACAGAGAGAAACCTTACCATTCATTTCCCTGTGAAGGTTTCTCAAGCAGCACACGGATAATATATAATAAGCAGCTTAGCAATTTGAGGGAAAAGTTGAACAATCGGATTCTTAGACCTTTAAGTAAACAACAAAATTTGTTTTTCATTTGAACTCAGCACATATAAGATAAGGAAAAAACTGTCAAAAACATCAACTTTCAGTACAGCATTTAAAAGGTATTTAGTAAGCACATGCTATAATGTCTAAACTTAATGGAATTCTTGGTAGCTGAATTTTAATCATCCAGCTACTAAAAATAAAATGTGAATGTTATAGAATCTATGAACTACAAATGACACGGGTCAATCCACAGATGGGAACTCTGTGGATTTTAAACTCAAAAGCAACAAAACTAACATTCAGACAAGGTTGGTTCATGGCTGTGTATAGCTTTTAGAACCTTAACCTATGCTTGAAGACTAACTAACGCAAAAATCAAGCAGCCCCCCAAATACACCCTAACATATCCTATGACTCTGTAGCAGCTTGTTAATTTGATTACAGAGAAAACTTGTTTATATAATTAGTTGATACTTTTGCTATTATGTTTATACTATGGCATGTATCATTTCTACAATTACAGGTTATACAGTAATTATGTCATCATTTACAAAGAGAAGCCATAATAACTTGTACTGATAAATACACATATAGACAAACATTCTTTTTCATACTGAATTGGGCATATTGAACTTTTTAAAAACTAGGCTTATTGCCAATAGAATCTTAAATTTTGTGAAAATTGAGAGCATCATGTCTGTATCATACAAACTGCTTAGGTCACAGTTGTAAGGACTATGATACTTAATGAAGAAGGTTAAGCAACATACCCAAAATTGGTTAACAGGCACACTGCCATTTCTGTAATTATCAGTGATTTTTCTTTATGTATATTTCAAATAATTATGAGAAAGGTGTTCCAATAATTATTAATTGATGGAATCTAAGGTAAAATGTTACCATTTTAGTCTTCTTTTGTAGAGTATACTATAGCATTCCTTAACAACAAGCTTTTTAATTGTGCAAACCTTTTCAATTTTTTCTTATTAAACTGCTGAGAGGAATTTTGTGGTTTACCTTCTCTAGTTTCAGCTCTGTTGTAATAAAATATTCTGAACGAAAATACCATGAGGTTGAAACAGGCTTATTTCATCTTATTCCTTACAGTTTGATAGAAATGGGTGTCGTCTTTGTCAGGTGAGTATTCAGATAATGACTGACCTAACATTGATTAATGGTATTGAGCAAGCCTTCATTCATGTGATTTAACTCCTTTAGGTAATATCTACTGATAGGATTTTCAGGAAACTCTAAAAACAAAATTAGGAAGGCATTAATTCTTCCTAACTTTAACCCTGATTTACTTTGCCATTGAGAATATTTCACTAGTACGGTTTAACTACAGATGTATTTCCTATAGGCAGTATATGAATATGCTCTCACAAACCAGAGTTCTTTCTATGAATGCTACCTGCTTAAACACAATTTAGTTTAGAGCAGTGCAAGCAGATCCAGGGTTTAAAATCCACAGCCCCAACTCTATGCTGGTACAGTTCAGGTCTCTATGTTTCTTACATTGTAAGCAACAATCACAGATGACATATAGGATTGTGCAAAGCAGCAAGTATCACACATAGTTCAACCTAGGTAGCGTTCAGCAGGGTTCCCAATTTCATATTCTCTGTGTCTTCAGTGGTTACCAATCTCTTAATAAGGATCATCAGGATGTTAAACTCTGACATTCAGACATTCACCCTATACTTACATGTGTAAGTTCTTCCTCCATAGGAAGAACAGCAACCCATCCATACACTTCAGGGTACACTTGACATTTATTATCATTAGGAATGATACAGTGAATTACTCCCTTATTAACTAAGAAAATGATCCCACATTGTGAACTCAATTTGATGAACCTTAACAATGATAGTTAACACAACCCTCACATGTAAAAGCTGGAATCAATTAAATTATGGGATACTGTTGTATAGAAGTTCTCACACTATAGTCCAGGGTAGCGTAGTAATTACTCTATAGTTCTGTATATACTCTATATCATCAAAATTTCTTTTTAACAGACAATGATCATTACTTTTCAAAGAATATTCTTTGACTATTTCCTATAAGTATATAATGTATTGTTATTGTTTTCACTCCAATTGCTCGTTTGTTCCCGCATCAATATTGCTCAACCTCTTCTTCTCCACAACACGATCCCATTCTATTTTCACCTGTCTTTTTATAATTTCCAAACCCTTGAGTTTCATTGGGGGCCCTTGCCTGAGTATGGGTCACTGTATTCCCAGGAGTATGACCATTATTCAGTGGCTACACCACGGAAAAAAGTGACTTCCCTATCTGCATCACCATTTACTGCTGTATCAGGGAGCAAATGATCTATGAGTCCTCCACCACTCATATGCCAACTTTAAGGTTCCATGACCTTGACTTTCTGAACCTTCTGCCTCATCCTGAGTATTGAGATTAAAGGTGTGCTCCACTTAGACTATGGCAGTATGTTTCAGAACTCAGATAGGGCACACAGGGCTCTATTAATTCATGTTGGATTTAGAGACTGAAAATAGTAAAGAGACTTTTGAACTACTAGAAGTAGTATCTTCTGTTTTGTTTTTTTTTCATTTACTCACAAATAAATAGTCTCCCAATTTTATTCTGTTATATAGCCAATGACTTCGTGAAACATTACAGCTGGAATTTTGAAGTAGATTACTATTCAAAGAGCAAACGAGAGAGATGGAAGTAACTTACTTGATCGTTGGTTTTTTATGAAAAACAATTTTAATCTCTCTTTAAATGTGTTTTCATTCATGTAGAATTCAACTTGAACTCTGAAAGTAGAAAGTAAAAGCAAATTTATTTAAGTTCATTGCATCTTTATTTTTATGGAAATGAATAGAAACAGACTTTGCAGTTCACCAGATACGTAAAAATAAAACTATTTGAATTAATGCATCATATATTTGGAGTAAATTTTCTGCCATGGAAAGTGAGAACTGAGTAAAATATAGTAGTGCTATTTCAGAAAAAGAAGTGCTTGCTTCCTAATTTTAAAGACAGCTCAAATGTCATGCAGTTAATTATCTAAATTGGTGAGTTGACAATTCAAATAAATGATTCCAAAGAAAACATTAGTTTTTTAAAACTTAATATATATTTAAAATGACCCCTGCCCCAACACAATCATTTCCCCTAATATTTTCTGGCTATATGAATAAGGATTATAGGAATCAGAGGAGGGTCAAGGATATCACAGGAAAACAATGAACCTGACTCATAGGAATTCAAAGAGCCTGAACCAACAACCTGAGAGCCTACAAGGGACTGATCTGAGCCTTCTACATACAAGTGTAGCATGGTATACTTGTGGGACCCCTAACAGTGTGAGCAGGGGCTGTCCCCAACAATTTGGATGGCTTTTGGGAACCTATTGCTCATCATACTGGGTTGCCTTGCCCAGCCTTAATACAAGGGGAGGAGCTTCATCTTACTGCAATTTGATATGCCATGCCTTTTTCATTGATATCCATGAGAAACCTGTTCCTTTATGAACAGAAACAAAGGAGAGGTGGGTTGGAGAGGGCAGAGAAGAGGTGAGGAGAGGGAATGGGAGGAATGGAGGGAGGGAAAACTGTAGTCGGGATGTAAAATAAAAATAAATTTAATTTAAAACAGAATGAACTAGATAAATGAAAATTTTACCTTCATACTGTGCCATCACTAACTCAGTTATAAGGCAGGACACCCTTCACTCTATCTGGAATCTACTTAGGGCACAGATGAGTTAACACTTTCCTTTCTTGTTTAGTTATTTTGTCTCATATTTAAATATGTAGAAATAAGTAAAGGGGTTCTAATGAGCACCAGAAAGTCAAGGTTTCACATTACTAAGAAGTAAGCCCACTGAGGACAAAATTCTATGTTTAATCTACTCTGAAATGAAGTCAACCATTCCCAGTAGAGCACCTTTGGACCTCAGGGATGGCCATCACAGTACTGCATCTATCACCACTCACAGAACTGCATCTTCTGTTTCATATATGGAAACTCTCGCTAATATCCCTCATGCTACCTGATGCAAATGATATTTTTAAACAGTGAAAAAGAAATTCTGTCCAGTGCATAGTGATTTGTTAACAGTCAACAACTGCCACAGTTTCACACATATTCATTATGGTTTTGATTCCAAAGACAGTTAAGACAGAATTTCAGTGCTTACACAATCAAAATTTTCCCTAGATTTTTCTACAATCACAAACTTTTGAATATGTAATCTGCATGTCCTTAGTATACTCAGCAGCTGGTTTTGTTGGTTTTTTTCAAAGAAGACTGTGTGAAAAAAAGCAGAAAGTAGGAAGTAAGTGACGCAGACTGCTGTGTGTTTCAAGTATGCTACGCTGTTCTGATTCCACAGTCTTGCCATTCTACATATTTAGGAAGAGCCATAGTAGCTAAGTTCTGAAAATCAAAACTCTTTGCTGCACAAAAGGCTTTTATTCATGAGAAACCAAATTTTATACAATTTAAGATTTAATATTCTCTAATTTTTGCTTTCCTATTTCAAATTATTTCTATCAACAGTTTGTAAGTATTTCTCACCTAATTCTTCACCTTATATGTAAAGTGAAGTTTGGACCTGAATCTAGTTTATATTTACTTGAAAATTCCTCCAAAGTGAGTCACATGAATTATGATGTCTTTGGCAGCTCACGGTGTCTGGAGGCTATGTGCATGCTTACACCCCTACAAAATCACACTCTCATGAAAGCCCAAGTAACACAAGCAGGCACAAAGCCCTGTTTGTGTCCTCAAAATCCTTCACTATCTGTTTCCCTTGCTATCAAATGAAAAGTCAGCTCGTTTGATATGAATGAACTGTAACACTGAGACTGAGTTTAAATAGTTAAAATCTGTTATGGATACAAAACAAAATTTGAGAGAACACATGGTTATTATGCAAGTAATTTATGAAAGGCCATTCTAATTTGCTTCCTAGAATTATCAAATTTATAAGAAGGTCCATGCATTCTTCAGATAGTAGCTGGAGCCCAGTACAAGCTTGGACTGAGGAGCATTTTTTAAATAAAATGAAATCAGGTAAACAAAATATTCAGGAGTATGGAATGCATGTCGTCTGAGAAAAATTATGAGGAACACAGAGGTTTAATAACTATGTAGTTAAGAGTTGCAGAATGACTGCCCTTATAATGATGAGGCAGCCAACATCATTTAAATAAGACAACCCCTTACGAGACATAAAACTGAACAGCTCATTCTAGAGAACAGGAGAATTAGAAATCAGAATTCCTAACTCTGCAATGGCTATCATTGTAAAGCTTACAATTCCCTAACATATTTAATTTTGCCAAAGATAAAATGACAGATTGCCAGTGACTCAGAGTACTCAAAGTCTATACAGTTTTGTATGTTAGTGAGTCTTTCATTTCATGACTTCCTAATTTCTATCCAGTCATAAAATTACGTGAAACAAAACTCTTAATTATTCTTTTGATTTTACTGAGACAATATTATACTGTAAAACATGGCCAATATTGAAACATGAATTTATATGGGTTTTAAGGTTGATGACAATGAAAAAAACAACTGCAATACTTTGGATTTGTTGTCTTAGATATGGGGGGAAATAAAACAGTTGGCAGGTAAGACAAGTTTATTTTCTTTTCCAATATAGGATGGTGAGGCAGGTGAGAGAGGAAGAGAAGGAGAAGAAGAAGAGGGAGAAGAGAAAGAAGAGGAGAAGGAGGGAGGGAGGAGGAGGAAGAAGGAACAAAAGAAAAAGGAGGAACAAAATGAAAATAGAAAAAATACTAATAATATTGTATTATTGTAATATTGTAATAATGCAGAATAAAGCTTTCTTTGATTAATCACATGAACACTCCCTCCCTCCCCCTCTCCCTCCCTCCCTCCCTCCTTCCTTCCCTCCCTTTTGTCTTCCTTTCCTTTTCTGTCTTCTGACCTTCCGACCTTCCGTCTAACTTACTTATCTGGATTTAATTTCCCTAGAAAATGATGCTTTAAATAATGGACAAATCAGCTCACTTCATTTGTCAAAGTGTCATTTTTATTACAAGCTTATATTAAAGATAAAATTCAGACTCCTTTTTTCCCCACATTTATCATAGCACATGACAATGGTTACATTTAACAAAAATAAGTTATGATTGTTGTACTTATTAGGTGGTATCTTCAGCTTGAACAATTTCTCATGAGATAAACCTATTTTACATTAGCTGATTATGTATTGTTTATTTGAATAGATGAATTTATAGTAAAGAGCAAATATGTTGAGCTCCCATATATATTTTATTCTCTCATGTCTATTATTTGGATTTTTAGCAAAATAATCTTGCATAATGAAATTTTCTCCACATTTTCTATTTCTGTTATGCAGTTTTGGAGTTATTAGCTTGATAATCACTTTTGTGCAAAAATAAGTCAAATACTTTTGGTGTACTTTTCTTATAAGAGCCTCCACTGCCTTCAAAATTAACTCTACTATTGACCCTCAAGTGCTTGGAGTCAGCATTCATATTCAGTTAAGTTATATAAGAGATAGGTATCGATTGGTTGGTTGGATGGATTATTTTATTCATCAATATTCTAATGATGCCTATGATGCCTATGATGCAATCATCTTGATTAGCTTGAGAAAACTTGGTTTTACTGCCTTGTGCACTGAAGTGATAATGCTTAGGGATTTTCCATTCATATTAACATTATCGATGTATTACTCTCTTTTTACAAATGCAGTATCTTCAAATAGAAATCCTTCTGTGGTTTCTATATTCCAAACATTTGGAACTACTGTAGAGATGGAGGAACAGGGGGTTGTAAATCTTCCCTAATGATAATTGCCTGAGTGTTGCTTTAATTTAGCACTTGTTTTTCATTTTCCTCTCACTCTATTGCTCTGCTCCTTGAATTTTGTATAAAAATCACTCCAGAGAATGTTAAATTGTATTTTTCCTTCTTTCATCTTAAAATTCTTGTCTAATAACTTTAAAGTAGGCCCTATTTTAACAACACAAAAGCAATTTTGACCCTGGACATCGATGAAGAATCACTATTTTGCCACTTTCAATGTTATCACCTGGAAATCTATTCAAAAAATATAACTCAGACATCATTTTATGGATCTCTTGGAAGATATACATCAATATCTAAAAGGATTCTGACTATGTGTCTAGTTGGTGCTATTGCTTGAAATCTTACCATTGATCCCACAACAGTAGTTGCAGAGCCCATGAATAAATTATTTATTACCTTACTACCATATTACCATACAGGCAAACAAATAACTGGTAAGAGTCTCTGGACCATAGGGTTGTAACACATATTTTCTATAGATGCATTTTACCTCTCATGTCAACTTACTTATATGGTTTTTGTCCACAAAGTTTATATGTAGATGACACGGTGATGTACATAGTTCCCATGGCAGCTCTCTCCTTGCTAAGAACATTTCACCTGGCTCAGTTATGTGCTTTTTTGTTGTTGTTGAGCCATTCTAATGATGCATTTGGTCTCTAGCTGAAGAGTAAGAAGGGATGTGTAATCACTCCATGTAGCACCAATATTCTCTCTATTCTCATGACAGAAAACACTAAATTTAGGTTACGCTCATGAAATTTTCACCACCTCAAATGGACCACCTTAACCTATTCGTACTTCTACTCTTTCTACATTAACATTCTTCTGAATTCAATTGTGCCCCTCAAGAGATACATTGATGCTCCTTCCCCCAGTATTTTAAAGTTGAGCTTATTTGGGAATACAATTGCTGCAAAAGGAGTAGTTTAAATTGAGA